ATGGGCTCTAGCGTTCTCCGTAAGGATGATGAATACTCCGTGTCTGTCATCGACCAGACCATCGATCAGGTCGTTCCCGCTCTTATTCAGTCTCTTCGTAACCAGAAGCGCGACGTGGTCTCTGGAACGTCTGAGTTGTTGTTGAGTTTCACCGCTGCTTTTGAGCACATTCCTGCTCACCGTCGTCTGCGTTTGTTCCATGCTCTAGTCACCAAACTCGGGGTTCTGGACTTCCTGTTTGCTGTTTTGGCTATGCTGGCTAATCGCTACGCCATGGACAAGGATGTTCTCGTTCTGATGACTGGTCTCGTTTCTGATGCCAGCGCACCCATTGAACTTGAGGTATGTGGCGTTTAGTCTATTATGAAACCTCTATTTGTGACTAACTGTCCTACAGACATACAGCAAGTTCTTGGACTTGGTCATTGACTCGCTCAAGCCCAAGCCTGGCATTTCTCAAGTCCTGCTTGGAATCGGAAGTGATGACGGTCGTGAACCCCAGAAGGTCGCCGTCGATCTGCTCAGGTCACTGGCTCACCTGTTCAAGCACTCTTCGCTGAAGGTAAAAATGGCCAAGGCTTTCGCAACAGATTCGGACGACCAGACAGTCCAGATCCGCACCCACTTCTCTCATATCTTGGAGAAGGTTCTGTTCATTGGCGAATCTATGCAGAACGTCAAGCCTGTTAGTCAGGCGAGCGGTGATGTTCTCAGCGCCTTGTTCGGTACTTTGTCTCTCGTCGATTTCCTTGATACTATCGAAGTCCTTCTCGAACGACCTGACGACGAACTTCGCCGCAAGGTTCTTCGACTTCTGGAGGGTCGTTTGCGCCAGAACCCTGAAAACGACGGTGTCTCACAAACACGCATGTTGGACTTCTTGCCTACGTTGGTCAGCATTGTGGAATCATCGCCGGATATTCTGCTCAAGCATGCTGCAGTGGCCTGCATCGACCGTATCGCTGAGAAGTACGGCAAGAAGGATCCTTTCAAGGTGGCCAGTGCTGCCCAGGTGGTTGCCGGCGCGGCTTGTATTGGACAAGACGATGAGCGGATTCGTATCATGGGTGTCCTGTGTCTCGCTTCGATGGCCGAGGTACTTGGTGAGGCTATGATCCCTGCACTTCCAGATGCGCTTGGTCGCTCGTTGGAGTTGCTCGACATCAGCCTGGAAAGTGGCAAGGAGAACTCTAGATTGCATGATGCCGTCCTCTCTTTCTTCTCTGCCCTCTTCGTTCACATTCCCTTCATGGTGTCTGCCTCTCACCTTGATCAGCTCCTTCTACTCTGCCACAAGTCCGCTATCACCGAGGAAGTTGAAGATGATGGCCGCGAGGAGACCCTCCGACTCCTGGCTCGGAAGGTCGATGTGGCCGCGACGTTTGCTGCCGTTGACCGCAATTGGCAACACGCCGTAGAAACTGGCCCCGATGCTATCCTGGAGACTCTGGGAATTGTTAGCCTTGCTATTGAGAAGCATCCCAAGTCTGCTACCGTTAACAACCTTGCGGTCATCACCAGCATTCTGTTCAAGGCATTTGACCTCCGCCGCCAGCAAGTGTCCTTAGGCTCGAATGCCACCATCGACTTGTCACACCTGGACGAGATCGAGGATGTCATCAATGAGGTCGCCATCAAGATGGTTTACAAGCTGAATGACACCACCTTCCGTCCTATTTTCACCAAGCTCCTTGACTGGGCTACCTCCACAACTACAGCCAAGAAAGATACCCAAGGTAGTCTGGCTCGTCTTACGACCTTCTACAAGTTCCTCCAAGTATTTTTCGGCACTCTTCAGGTAAGTTTATCCAACCAATCTATCAATGCAATCATCATATCTAACCGAATCAGTCCATTGTCACCGGCTACGCAAGCTACATCCTGGAAAATGTGGTTAAGGTCCTCGCCAAAGCCAGCCCCTCGAACCAGAACACCAAGAGTCTGTGGCTGGCAACGATGCGCATGCTCCGGAATGCCTTCCAGCACGACCAAGACGGTATGTGTCACTTCTCAACTCTCCACAACACCCACAACACAACTAACAAAACCACCGCAGAATTCTGGCAATCTCCATCCCACCTCACCGCGATCGCTCAGCCCTTGATCTCCCAGCTCGCCCATGCCACGAACTCCTCCACGGCCGCCCTCGTCATCGCCGAGGCCGTCCCCGCCATCACGGAGCTGGCCGTCGCCGCCGACTCCACCGACAACCACAAGGAACTCAACACGGCGTTGATGCGTCTCCTCCGTCCCTCGGCCGGACCCTCGGGTAAGGCCGCTGCCGGCGGCGAGAACCCGCACACGCGCCTCGCCGCCCTGAAGGCGGAGCAATCGCTCACCGAGCAGCTCGGCGAGGAATGGCTGGCTCTGCTGCCGGAGATGCTGCCGTATATCAGCGAGCTGATGGAGGATGAGGATGAGAACGTCGAGCGCGAGGTCCGCAAGTGGGTCAAGCAGATCGAGGAGGTCTTGGGGGAGAGATTGGATGACATGCTCACCTAAACTCTCTCGGGGGTTTGACGCCGTGATTAAACCTTTTCTTGTATGATGCGCGGATGGCGTACTTTGGAAAATTTTTGGGGTCTTTGTGTGTGTGTGTGTGTAAATACTTCGTTTTTGAAAAAGTTTCCCAGGATTCTTTGTGTTTGTTTTCTTGATGCTGAGTGCTCTTGTTGATGTCTCTTAACATTGATACCTCATTTTTCTTCTTGTTGTATCTAGAAGAAGGCCTTTGAAAATAGAAGAGCAAGCAAGGATCGGAATTCATGGTAGCATATTCATTGAAGATTGCCCTGACTAACTTACATGGACTGGGCAGGTAGGCTGAAGTGAGATTTTAGACTTTCTTCTGCCTGGTAAACTTGCCCATGTTCATCCGCTTGTTCACGAGCGAATCTACCCCGTCAAGCCACTTGGTCCAGGTCCTGCCGTTCCCCATGGCCAGTATCCGTTTCATACGCGCATAGTCACGGATTGGCTGGTCTTCCTCTTCGCTCTGGACCCCATGAACGCAGTTCTGACCCCAGACTTTCCAATGACCCCCCGGTGTAGACCACGGTGCTTCACCGTACGCGAAGGCGATCCACGCCGTGGCGAAATCCCGAGCCATAGCTTTCTCGTCGTCGTTCATCTCGTTGTCCAGGTTCCTGAAGAGATACAGGAGCTCGATGGCGTGGTATGCGGTACCCTCCAAGGGATTTTTGAGCCGGGACCGTCGGTCAAAGTGATAGAGGTACAAGGCGTTCTTCTCCCGCAGCGAAGCGCAGAGCAGCGAGGTAGCGTAGTTGGGGATCTTGAAGATTGCGTCCCCACACATGTGCTCCAGGCGCGTGAGGAATTTTTCCGAAGTTAGCCCATCGGGTTCGATCGCGTACTCTCGGAGGATTCGGGTGGTTTCGTCGGCGTTCTGGATCTTGCTTTGGAGGGTTTGGAAGACTGTGTCGTAGGTGTCGGTCAGCATGTTGAGATGGAAGATCACTCCTTCGTGGTAGACGTCGCCCAGCATGTAGGCTTTGAGCCAGCGGGGTGGCTCGTGGACCTCCAGGGGATTGCGATCGTAGAACCACCCGTCAAGACAGGGGTTTCCGGTGCCAGAGAGAACGCCCTGGATGGCGGCGGTGGCGTTCGCGAGTTCCTGCTGGGGGAGTTCACGTAGGCGGTCGAGCACGTCTGGGGCGGACGGGTTGATGTCGAAGTACCGACATACGGCGCGGAAGTACTCTTCGTGTTGCTCCATGGTCCAAGGGGGGATGGAAACGGACAGGCCGGACATGCACACGGCTCGGTGGAAGCGCGGCGGGTGGGCAGCTACCAGATGGTTGCTGATGGAGATCCCACCGGCCGACTCTCCCACTGCTGTGACTTCGTTAGGATCACCGCCAAAGGATGCGATGTATCGCTGGACCCATTCGAGGGCGACCAGCTGGTCTGTGAATCCAAAATTTCCGCATCCTTGATAGCCGTCGCGTTCGAGGTCCTGCTTGATGGCTTGGCTGGCTAGGAAGCCGCCTAGCCCGACGCGGTAGTTGAAGTTGACGCAGACGATGGGCTTGCCGATCTTGATGCTGTGCGAAACAAGGTTCACGCAGTCGAAGATTGGAAGGTTGGCACCTCCGTAAAGGAGCGAGCCACCGTGTACGTAGACGAAAACGGGTAGCTTCTGGCTGTTTGGAGCATGTGGAATCACGATGTTCATCACGAGCCCGCGCAGCTCGTCCACTTGTGGGATTTCTGGGAAGTGTGCTGGTGGTGGCACTGGCGTTAAATCGTCCGAGTCGTCGCCTTCAAGCATTGGCCGTGGGACATCAGCTCTAGAGATCCTCGTCAGTGAGACCAGAAATTTGATCAGTATAAGAAGTATAGTCTACCCCAATTTGGTCCCGTCATGGTGGTCATTCTCCCATGTGGTATTCAGCTCTGAACGTGTCCAACGTTTGCGAAGACGAGCATAGGGAATGCCACAATACTGCTGGACCCCGTTTTCATATTGCAAACCCTCGAGTCTTCCAAGGGATTGTAGCTCAGTTGAGCATCTTGAGATCGGAGTGAGGAAGGACATAGTAGCCTGGTGAGAAGTATTTCGTCACCAAGACTGCATGTCTTCCTCCGTTGCTATTTATGGAGGCACCTGCAGCATCCATTGTTAGTGTTAGATCACAGGGTCATTTGCAAATGACTGAGTCAATTGATGCTGACTCGTTGCAAAGGATGAAACTGTTTACGACTACAATACTCTGTACAATGCAAAGGGAAATAAGGTTGATGCTGAGCTAGACCTAATACAGCAAGTCGACCCAGAACCCGTCTGATAAGCTACTGTGACTACTAGGTAGTTATCGGCCAGGTACATACGTTGTTATCTCTCCGACTTTCCCCTCACTCACCCTCTCTACGTTGTCTGATAAGGGTCCACATTTTAAGCAGGTCTTTACTTTCCGCTTCTGCCTATCATGACCTCAATTTTGGTCTGACCTTCGTATACTTCATGACACCGATCAGGAATGTCGACCCCTCATCAGCGATCTCATCACGGCTGCTGGACGTGCAAGGCCCGACGCCGCAAATGCGATAGAACGAGACCCAACTGCCAATCCTGCATTCAGCGCGGGCTCCAATGTGAGGGATATGAGGTCCGGCTGCGATGGGGAGCCGGCATTGCATCGCGAGGCCGTTACACTGGAGCAGAAGAGCCAATCGAGACCTCCGTACCTGCAAGGCGCAAAGGACGGCGGCGTGATCTGAGTCGTGAGAGGCGCCGAACCCAGCAAGAAGTTGCATATATCGCCGATGTGGGGAAGACGAGGACTACCGCATCCCCTCCTTGCAGTGATAGTGCATGTACCGTGTCCCATATGTTCTCCATCTACCGACGTACTGGCCTCTTGCTAACATGTTTGAGGCAGCTTATGATGCTAGCACTAATTTCTCCTCTGACCTGTCTCCACTAACGTCCCCCGAAGCACGACAGCGATCAGAAGAAGACGATGTACTCTTCCAGAGATGTATGCAAATGTTCCCTTTGGCCCCGTGTCTAGGGTGATGAAGGATTAATTATTGTGCAGTCCTTACTTCAGGTGTTAACACTCTACACTCAACAACCACCGATGACCCTGCCAGTCTATTGGGAGCGCAACTTCCTACACTTTCTCAGCAATCCGATGCACTATACTTCATCTGCCTGGCTCTCCAAGTTTCAATATCCGATGACATTGGTCCTCGATTCTTCGAGTATTATGACGCGGCTCTGAACCATTTTAGATCCGAGCTGGCACACAGTGCGTCATACTTGCCGGATGGTACACTTGCAGCGGGGCTTCTTCTCTGCAGCGTTGGGGTGCGCTCATGTCCTTCTTAACCTCCTGCCTCCATCAACAACGATACTAAATCAATCAGGTTTTGCGTGGCACACCGTGGACGATGCACCTCCGAGGTATGTACAGTATCATTCAGTTGCAAGGGTTCCGAAACCTTCTGTCCGAAACCAGTACATTCCGCACACATCTATTCGAGGTAATGGGTGTGATGGATCTTCCTACTTTTACCATTGGTCGCCGAAACTCCTGTCTTGGTTTCTGGAGAAACCACTGTCGAGAACGCAAAGACCCCACTGCAATCAATTCAGAAATAGGTCATGATGTCGAGGTGGTAAGCGGCCTTCCAAGGTCTTTACTCGATATTTTCTCCTGTATTGGCACTCGAGAGGCCAACGAAGAAGAATTTTGGAATTGGCCTGGTGCCCAGGGGACGTTGCTGCAATGCCAGCTGTGGGAAGCTTATAGATCGGCGGGAATTCTGGCCCTGAGACATCGTCGCTTGCACCGATTTGATGATATGATCGTATCACAACCAGAGAACACTCAAGAGACAGCGCTACGGAAACGAGCTCTCCCTACCACGGAAGTGCTTGTGTTGCGCATTTTCAGTAATCTGGATGCGATCTTCAGAGCGACGAAGGAGCCTGAGGGAGCAGGTACTTTGCTTCTGAATGCGGTCTTCTACCCTCTGACTGTTGCTTCATTGGAATCCCATATCATGAATGAAAGACCATTTCTGAAAGCCTTGATCAAAGGCTGGGGTGACAACCTTCATGACCCGCCTGGGAATGAGCGACTCTTGCAGATCTTGTCGGAAATCCTCGAGGAATGGTGGATATCTATCCCTGAGCAAACCAGCATACATGAACTTGCTTATGTGCGAGGGTTGGAGATTGCGTTGTATTGATCAGGAGCATACAAGATCAAGACACTTAGGAACTGAGTTTCTGTGCCTGTCGAAACATGAGCCAAACTTTGGCGATGTCTTTTTCGTCGGTCAAATCCACTTTTTCAACAACCTCAAATCCTAGCTTCTCATAGAAGTTCACATTTTGCTCCGCTGTGCACTCTAAGAAAATTGGCGAATCCTGAACACGATCCAGAACCCACTGCATCGCCATGCTGCCTAATCCTCGGCCTTGAAGAGAAGGATGAACAGCCAATACTTCAAGATACCACAGATCGTTTACATCATATCTTTTTCTGATGGCGTTGAGTGAGTCTTCGTGAGACTTCAAAAGAGTTTCCACGCGCTGCGGTGTGACTGGGTTAGCATCCATCATGATCAAGAACTGTTGTTCTCCAGTTTGGGGAGAGCAGGTATCGACCTTCATTTTTGCCCCATTGTCTGTAACTGGGCTTATCAGATCCAGAAACCAAACCTTTGCAGTTAGGAGTAGCCTTCTGATCGTCCATTTGAATTGCCTGGTAGGCGGGTACAGCATGATAGCTACGCCAGCATCCTTTTCATCACGAGAGTCTGGTATCTTCTGGATCACGGCTGAATTTTGTGACACCTGTCGATTTGATGGAAACAAATGTGCAATCTGATCTACCGGAGCCGATTGAAAAACAAGTCCCTCAGATATGAACCGTTGTACCCGACGATATTGCCAGTTGAATGTGCTCGTATGCTGCCTCATCCATGGAGCAGCAGCAGGCCGTAGCCATCGGATCAGCGGGTCATTCGAGAACGAGAGACTGATTGTGTGTGCGACTGCGCTGACTGAACGAAGATCTATTCGACTCAAGGGGGTCATTCAAAGTCGTTCAGCAAATGTTATAAGCAGGTGACCAAACCATCATGAACTCGAAAGAAATCCAAACGAGGAGTTGAAGCCATCTGCTTAGGTATTGGGACCCAAAATTCATCCGATAAGACACCAGGCTGCTACTGGCCCTCTGTCACCACGAACGAACCGCCTCTTTATCGTCTGATGGCAAGGATGAGCTTGGGATGAACTTGATTTAACCTATAGATAAGTACAAGTCAAGGCGCTTGTCAGCCTAGATCATCCACATCATCACACTCTGAATGTTTGTGGCAAGGTGTCTACCTTCCTTCTTGGGATCGGCTTTGAATCATCTCCAACTTGCAGCGTTTTGAGACGTTTATCTTCAAGTTGACACCAATCCGTTCGGCATGAACAACAAATGAAAACACAGAGTGATTGATTTTGTGTGATGCTATATCTAAGGTAGCGAAGCGCCTTCATACTAGGTAGCCCGAGGCTATACCCTTGTTGGCAGGTCGACCCCCAGACCCGCTCTCCCTTTCCTCGTTGGGATTTGATCAACTCCTCAGGACTCCGTCTGGGTGGATTGAGGCGTTTTCTTATCTATCAGTGCCTGGTCTAAAGACTAAACACTCGGTTTCCCCGCATTTCGTACTCACTCCAATTGCACTCGTGATCTACATCGCCATCATCTATCATGATAGGGTTTACGGCTCTTTGAAATGGAATGTCGGGGACTCCTTGCGCCACCAAAGGCGTGAGTCTGCGCGGGCGACTATATATCATCTCACCCAAAGCATACCTTAAGCCTGACTGTGGAAGCCATCATCAAAGGCCTTTCTGTGAACATTTTCTCACAATTCAACTATCTTCCTTTGCACTGGGCGAACATTGATGGCAGGCCACAGCTCGCTATCTCAGGATCGAGTGGAAGATGACCTACCTCCAGGCACTTTCCTCTTCGTCAAAGGTAAGAATTTCTCTTACATGATAGCAGCCTACAGACTGACAATGAGATACAGAGAGCGAGGATGAGACTCAAGGTCAGCAAGTGATCCTCCTCAGCCCGGTTCCTTCAAGCGACCCCAACGAGCCTCTGGTAAAACACCTTTCTTCGAAAGACAAAGGGAGTTCGCTAACACGCGTGGAGCGAGAAAGAATTGGAGTACCGCGCGCAAAGCTGTGAACTTCACACTAGTACTGGCAGTCACCTGTCTCATTTTCACTGCGTGAGTCGGCAACTGATTAACAGCCTTTGGGGCTCATGGCTGACATCTTCACCTATAGGCTTTCAATTCAACTCATCTTCTGGCAACTGATGGTGGTGGACTTGAACGTCACATATACCCAACTGAATCGAGCCATGTCGGTTAACTCGGTAGGCCTATCTATGGGCTGCGTCATGTTTATTCCCCTGGCGAAGAAATATGGGCGTCGGCCCATTTACCTAATCTCCACCGCGCTGATGCTTGTAACTGCCTTCTGGACGGCAGAGATCAAGAGTCTCTCTGAGCTCTACATCACAAACCTCATTCAGGGTTTGGCCGGTGCGACAAATGAGGCTATTGTCCAACTTACTGTGCGTGTTCTTGCCTCCGGAAAGATGCTGCGCTAACGTCATCAGATTGCGGACATCTTCTTTGTGCATCACCGCGGTACAATGAACGCATTGTATATGACGATGATGATGATTGGTGTAAGCCTCTGATTATCGAGTCTTGATCTTGAGCATCGCAGCTGACGTTGAGCAAGAGCTTCCTGACCCCCATGGCAGCCGGCGTGCAGGCGACCCACCATGGCTGGAGGATGTCATACCGTACGCTTGGCATCTGTAACGCCATCATCTTTGTACTGTTCATGTTCATCTACGAAGAGACAAAGTACACTATGGTGATAGATGGAGTTCACGAATCGCAGGAATCTATCGATGAGCCTCATGTGGTGCCAGCTTCTAGCACCAAGGGAGATAGCAAATCGGCCATCGCGGAAGATATAATTCCTGAAACTGAAGCGTCCAGCGCTGGACGTGTTGAGATCGACTTGAGGGTCCCAATGAAGAGCTGGCGGCAGAGATTGGCTCTCGTGACGTACACGCCGGAACCTATCTGGCCATATTACTATCGGCCTTTTGAGATCCTTTTCACGTTCCCTGCCGTGCTGTGCTGTGGCCTGCAGTATGCGTGTGGCGTCATGTGGCTCACGATCATGTCAAGCGTTCTTTCTCTTGTCCTCCCGCTCCCACCCTACCTTTTTAACCCGGAACAGATCGGCTTCATGAGCGTTGGACCATTCATTGGGAACTTAATCGGATCGTTCTACGGAGGGTATCTCGGAGACCGATCGCTTCGATATTTTGCTCGACGTAACAAAGGCTATTTTGAGCCGGAGATGCGGCTCTATATCCTCCACATGCCAGCAATCGCACTATGTGGTGGGCTGATAATGTTTGGCGTGACTCTGGACCGAGTGAGTGACCTGTGTTTTTTTACTTTTTTATTTTTTGAGTTGAAAGCAACCTTCCTCGCTGACGTGTGGTTCGTCCAGGGTATGCATTGGATCTACCCCAGCATCGGTGGGGCATTGTTCGGCTTTGGCCTAGGCAGTATTAGCGACGCATGCTTGACTCTAGTCATTGACAGCCATGTGTTGGTAAGACGCCATCTTCATCCCACTATAGCGAACGTGTCGAAGGTAGCTAATGCATGGTCTAGCTCACGGGAGACGCCTTCACCGGCGTGGCCTTCATGCGCAATGTCTTCAGCATTGGGATTCCATTCGCGATAAGTCCGTGGATGGAGACCTACGGACTAACCAAGATGTTCATCACCGTTGGATCTATTAGTCTCGGGGTAAATCTGATGCTAGTGGTGATGGTAATCTACGGGAAGCGGTTCCGACGGGCCAAGGCCCATCGGTATCGGGAACTGGCCGCCCAACAGGGCCAGGGCCGGGGAACTTGACCGGGCCGACTGTATGCGAGTGATTTTGGTCGGGAAACACGCGAGGCGGCTGGGCGAGGGCGGAGAAGCAGATCCAAAAGCGCGAGGAAAAGTTGAAAAGACGTGCTTGAATCTCGGTTAAGGGCGGATAGAAATGGAGCGCCCGACGGGGGGGCCTGGTCTGGACAGTGTGGGAACTCCGGGGCGGTTACCTTCGTCTGGGTCCGGATAACATAACAGCAAAGGATAATATAATGTCAAGATACCGCCTGTGGTTGCGATCACTCTATAAGATGGTGCAATTGATTGATATCTTCTTCCTGTTGTTGTGTAGCCAGAGCAAGATGGGGGGGGGCAGCGTGGACAGAACAAGGATTTCTCACGCAGTTTTCTCTTTCTTCCTTCTCTTTCAGGAAAAGCCTGAGAAAGTGCCTTGACCCGGCAGAGGCCACCAATGAGACCGCGTCAAATGCTCCGTCATCGGCAACAGATCAAGCGAACAACGCCCTTGTGGCTTGCGCATGTCATGTCATTGCAAGGGCGTGAGATTTGAAGAAGAAAAAGAAGAAGAAGAAGAAGAAGAAGAAGAAGGCGTGGAGCATCGACTCGTGGACGTCAGACATCGGCTAGCAATTGCGGGATGACTCTTTCTTGCTCGCAAATCCAGCCCCAGTTTGGGCTTAGATTCTGGGGGAGAAGTGGGCAGAGGTTCTATCTGATCAATCAGGATGGTGAGGAAATCCCGAGCTTCCTCGTGATCGTTTTTTGGAAGCCTCCATCAATCAATCTCGAGGGTCTATGCCCAGACCGCTGGGGATCTATGATTAATAATGTTCTCCGTGGTTAACTTAGCATCTGAGTTTCGTGTTCGCATACAAAGCAGTCGAGTCGATCATCCGTCTTTGTCGATGACACGAGACAGCCGATAGTAGCGCCGGGAGAGGGCAGCCGTAAAAGAGATCATCAACTTCATCACGGACTCGATGCTCGAGCGTCAGTCACAGCAGAGGAAGGGGGCGGGGGGGGGATTCTGGACTGTGCTGGCCATGGCCCAGCAGCGTCATCATCATCACCGACTCGGGCCTTTTCCCGCGGACATACCATCCATACATGAGAGGTGAGGGGCGCGCACTGCTTGTTCCGTAGGGCGTGACGCTTTCCCTCAATTGTGTTCGCCCGAGCGATGTCAGCAAAGGGCGCGCGCAACAAACCAGGAGTGGAGGGTCCATTCCTCATGCAAAGCTAAAGCCAGTCCCGACCACAGAATGCGAATCTCTTCCCAGCGGGATATGGGGTACGCTAGTCCAGAATGGCAAGTATTGGGAGAAAACTAAATGAATCAATTGAATCAATTGAATGGATTGAACAAACAGACAAACGAATTGGAGAGGTCGCACGTGCATTTTCTCTTTCGCTTTATTTCCTTGGATTTATCAGCTCTTTGCGTGACTCATCTTGGGTAGGTAAAAGGATTGAGGATTTGGAGGATATTGGCCTTCGGTCTATGAGTATTAAAACCACGGACTCAGGACAGGAACCTTGGTGGTTGATTCTCAATCATTCATCTTCAAAGCCTTTAAGTCTTCACCTAGGGACTTCTTGACTTATTTTTTTTGATACTCAGTAGTAACTAAGTATCAGAACGGAAAACCACGGACA